CTCTCTCTCTCTCTCTCTCTCTCTCCTCTCTCTCTCTCTCTCTCTCTCTCTCTCTCTCTCTCTCTCTTCTCTCTCTCTCTCTCCTCTCTCTCTCTCTCTCTCTCTCTCTCTCTCTCTCTCTCTCTCTCTCTCTCTCTCTCTCCCTCTCTCTCTCTCTCTCTCTCTCTCTCTCTCCTCCTCTCTCTCTCTCTCTCTCTCTCTCTCTCTCTCTCTCTCTCTCTCTCTCTCTCTCTCTCTCTCTCTCTCTCTCTCTCTCTCTCTCTCTCTCTCTCTCTTCTCTTTAGTGGGGGTTGTTGCATTGCACTTAATTAGGTGTGGATTTTATGTTATTAGTTTCCGATATGAGGTAAAGTCCCAACGGACGGGAAGTATTTTGAATGAGCGGATAAATAACGGTCGTTGGTCGATTGTGGTTCGAAACGTCGTGTTCTTTTTAAAAACTTTCTTTTCTTTAATTTAGTGTTTTTTTTCGTTATGTTGGTTGAAACTTTCGTGAAATTATGCGTTTGCTTTGGGTTAATTGTAATCTTTCTCCATGTATATCACACGCTAAGAAAAAAAAAAAAAAAAAAAAAAAAGATATAATTCGCCAGCCCAGTCTAGTTACGCATGGATTGCTAGAATTATATATTATTCAGCATCAAAATGTATGACAGCATTATAATCACACTGCGGGAGAGTTGATAGAAGGGGGGTCGTTACCGTTTTTCTTTTTTTTCTTATTTCTTTATTTCTTTTTCGTTTTCTTTTAGTTTGAATTATTATTATTTCTTTTTTAAGTTTATGTTTACTATTTGGGCCCTTTTTTTCTTTCTTTTTAACCTTTATTTGTTTTTTTGCTCCTTTTTCCTTCTTGTATTTTTATCTATTATTGCACTTTTATTTTTCTCATTTTTGGCATTCTTTTTTATTTTTATTTTTTTTTTCTACTGTTCTTTTTTGCTTTTTTTCCTTCTTGTTCGACCAAAATCCTTCTTATTGGCTGAACGAGACAGGCAGCTGAGTTGCGGCTTCTGATTGGCCAATTGTGTTCTCTTAGGTTAAGGTAATTGTGCTTAAATAACAAATTAGGATCTTGCGGCCAATGAACAACTTAAGGGGCTTAGATATATAAGAGCTCAAAGTGGAGACATGTGCTCAATAACTTTAATTTGTAACATTGAGGGTGAAAAATGTACTTTGGGAAAAAATTGAACCTGATATTTGGTTCATTTTCAGCATGTTGTAAGTTCTAGACGTGTTATGATAGTATTTTGGAGATGGATCTTATATATTTCAAGGTTTTCAATGACTGCAACTTTTTTATCGATTTTTTTATTGATTTATCCAACTCTTTACTGATTTGTTGACTTATTTACTTATGCAGTCATTGATATTTCAAGGTTTTCAATGACTTTGCAACTTTTTTATTATTTTTAATTGATTTATACAATTCTTGACTTATTTTCTGTTTATTTCCTTATTTAATCATAGTTATTTCAAAGTTTTCAATGACTTTTACAACTGTTTTTAATCATTTATTTTTTCAGTTGATTTATCCATCTTTTTTATTTATTTGTTCATTTATTTACCTATCTATTCGTCGCTTCTGTTGATATATATTGAACTTGAACGCGCTGAAAGGAGTCTTTTTTAGGCGTCTCCAGCTGGTCGTCGAGAGCAGAAAAAAATTGCAGAGTATTAGACACAGCGGCTCGGATCTGCCCGAACGTGTTCTCAAGGAGAGGGTGTGTTTGTTTGTGTGTGTGTGTGTGTGTTTGTTTGTTGTGTATGTGTGTGCGTGTGTGGTGTGTGATGTGTGTTTGTTTGTGTGTGTGTGTGTATGTGTGTGTGTGCTGTGTGTGTGTGTGTTTGTTTGTGTGTGTGTGTGCGTGTATGCGTGTGTTGTTTGTTTGTGTGTGTGTGTGTGTGTGTTTGTATGTGTGTGTGTTTGTGTGTGTGTTTGTGTTGTTTGTTTGTGTGTTGTGTATGTGTGTGTGTTTGTTTGTGTGTGTGTGCGTGCATGCGTGTGTGTTTGTTTGTTTGTTGGTGTGTGTGTGTGTGTGTGTGTTGCGTGTGTGTTGTGTGGTGTGTTTGTGTGTGTGTGTGTGTGTGTGTTTGTGTGTGTGTGTGTTGTGTGTGTGTTGTGGTTGTGTGTGTGTCTGTGTGTGTGTGTGTGTTGTGTGTGTGTGTTGTGCATGTATGTATGTATGTTGTGTCGGCTGTGCTACATGGACAGAGTACAGATGAGGGAAGCAAAATTACGTCACTCCATGTTTGGATCAGCGGCAGCATACCCCCCCCCCCCGCCTCCCCCTCCCTCCCTCCCTCCCTCGCCAAGAACAACAAGCGTGTCTCGTTGGCTTCGGGTATGAACATGGAGAACAGATTGTAGCTTAAAGAACTTGATAGAACGTGATTTGATTCTGGAGGATATGATACGACGGAGGTATGAACGTGGAGAACAGATTGTGGCTTGAAGAACTTGCTGTAACGCTTTTGCTTGGAGAATATAATATGGCGGTTGGTTTGAACATAGAGAACAAATTGTAGCATGAACATAGAGAACGTGATATAGCAAATTGTAGCATAAAGAACTTGATATAACAAATTGTAGCATAAAGAACGTGATATAGCAAATTGTAGCATAAAGAACGTGATATAAGGTAATTCAAATATGTTGAATATGTTACGACATAGGATGAAAATGTAGAATATTGTATATGCTAATATTAATATGAAAAATTGCTGGAGTCATATGCAAATATGATGATGATAGAACGTTAGACAAACATAGTGTGATATAATGCAGTAAAGATATGAAGAACATAGAATAACAAGAAGATACGAAGAACATAAAATAAGAAGATACGAAGAACATACAATAACATGAAGATACGAAGAACATAAAATAACAAGAAGATACGAAAACACAAAATAACAAGAAGATACTAAGAACATAAAATACAAGAAGATACGAACAAAATAACAAGAAGATACGAACACAAAATAACAAGAAGATACGAACACAAAATACAGAAGATACTAAGAACATAAAATAACAAGAAGATACGAACACAAAATAACAAGAAGATACGAAGAACACAAAATAACAAGAAATACGAAGAACACAAAATAAACAAGAAGATACGAAGAACAACAAAATACAAGAAGATACGAAGAACATAAAATACCAAGAAGATACGAACACAAAATAACAAGAAGATACTAAGAACATAAAATACAAGAAGATACGAACACAAAATAACAAGAAGATACGAACACAAAATAACAAGAAGACACGAAGAACACAAAATAACAAGAAGACACGAAGAACACAAAATAACAAGAAGACACGAAGAACACAAAATAACAAGAAGATACGAAGAACACAAAAAATAACAAGAAGATACGAACACAAAGAACATGAAGATACTAAAACATAAAATACAAGAAGATACGAACACAAAATAACAAGAAGATACGAAAAAAACAAAATAACAAGAAGACACGAAGAACACAAAATAACAAGAAGAACGAAGAACACAAAATAACAAGAAGATACGAAGAACACAAAAATAACAAGAAGATACGAAGAACACAAAATAACAAGAAGATACGAAGAACACAAAATAACAAGAAAATACGAAGAACACAAAATAACAAGAAGATACGAAGAACACAAATAACAAGAAGATACGAAGAACATAAAATACAAAAAGATACGAACACAAAATAACAAGAAGATACTAAGAACACAAAATACGAACACGAAATAACAAGATACGAAGAACACAAAATAACAAGAAGACACGAAGAACACAAAATAACAAGAAGACACGAAGAACACAAAATAACAAGAAGACACGAAGAACACAAAATAACAAGAAGACACGAAGAGCATACAGATCGCGTCAGCAATGATGTCAGCTCGCCGGCGTCAGTGCCTCGGGCTTAGGCTGACGGTGCGAAAGGGATGGGGTGATGGACCACCGCCTCGTCGGCCGCTGTTGCAAGCTTCGCCTACGCTCCGCTGCATGTGCGGTGGCGCTGTCTGCAGGAGGTTTTCGTGCGTGCGTTTTTCAGTTGCACGATCAGGAGGCTGAGCAGTTGCTTGGCGATTGGATGATGGGCGGTCTGTGGGCCGGGCGCGGGGGGGGTGCAAGGTGCCGGGAGGGTGGTGGGAGGGGGGAGGGGTTGGTTGGCAGGTGGCAGGCTGATGGTGGAAATGCCAAAATGAGGGGGAAAAGGGAGAAAAAAAGGAGCAAAACAGAAAAGATAAAGGTAAAAAAAACGAAAAAAAGGTAAAAAAATATATATAAAGGCAAAAAAAAAGACAAAATAATAATTAAAACCAAAAGGAAAAGATAAAGGAATAAAGAAATCAGAAAAATAGTAGGATGTTGTTGGCAGGTGTCAGGCTGATGGTTGTGGGTGGAAGGAGGTTGTTGGCAGGTGTCAGGCTGATGGTTGTGGGTGGAAGGAGGTTGTTGGCAAGTGTCAGGCTGAAGGCTCGTTGTTGGCAGGTGTGAAAGCTAAGTTGTAGGGGTTTGTTTGATGTTGTCAGGGTGTTGGAAGAGGTCAGTGGAAATTGATATATAATTTTTAAAAGATGTGGGACTGGTGTTGGAAGTTTGGGGCAGGTGGTGGAAGCGGCCTGGCTTTTGTTGGAAGTTGTCAGGCTTTTTTTTTTAATTGTCTGGTTTTCTTGGCAGATGTTGGGGTCTGTCGTAAACAATCGGGGTTTAATGAAAAGGTTTCAGACTGGCGTTGGAAGTTGTTGGAAGTTGTCAGAAGTTGTCGATTAAAAGTTATCAGTTGGAAGTTGGAAGTTGTCAGAAGTTGTCGGTTGAAAGTTATCAGTCGGAAGTTGTCAGTTGAAAGTTATCAGTTAGAAGTTGTCAAGTTGTCGGTTGTCAGAAGTTGTCGGTTGAAAGTTATCAGTCGGAAGTTGTCAGAAGTTGTCGGTTGAAAGTATCAGTTGGAAGTCGGAAATTGTCAGAAGTGTCAGTTGAAAGTTATCAGTCGGAAGTTGTCAGAAGTTGTCGGTTGAAAGTTATCAGTTGGAAGTTGTCAGAAGTTGTCGAGTCTTGAGTTTTGCTGAACCTGGAGTTTGTTCAGGCCGTGGACTTGAGCGTCACGCGATATCGAGCCCAAGTGGGAAACTGATTGCAGGCGCGGGCGGTGCATTATCAGGCATTTTTCATTGTTTCTGCTTTTTGTCGTTTTTTTAAGGATGTAAGTGTGCGTTTGTGCTTTTTCAGGAATTATGTGCTTTCCTTATTGTTTATTTAGTTTTTGTAGTAGCTGATGTATCTAACATTTTGTCTTCGTTCTATGTTTGCTACTTGTATATATATATATAATATATATATATATATATATATATATATATATATATATATATATATATATATATATATAGTATATATGTGTGTGTGTGTGTGTGTGTGTGTGTGTGTGTGTGATGTGTGAAAAACACGTGTTAATACTATGATAGAAAACCCCACAATGCGTGCGTGTGTGCGTGGTAGTTCGCGTGCGTGCGTGCGTGTGTGGGATGTATTACATTTCTATTTCCTTATCAGCCCTTCACGTGTACGTTTCTTGCCACCTGTGCTTATTCCATCATACGAAAAATATTTCTTTTCTTGAAAGTGGATCTATAAGTGAGTGAGAAAAGGAGGGAGAGAGAAAGGGAAGAAAGGAGTAAGGAAAGGATGGACGGTAAGAGAAAGGGAAGGAATGAGAGAGAAGGGGAGGAGAGGGAGAAGTAGAACACGAAGAGGAAAGAGAATAACAACATGAACAATAAGTAAATATGTAAATAACAGTAAGTAGATAAGTAGATAAAATTAGTAAATAAGTAGATAAAATTAGTAAATAAGTAGATGAAATAAGTAAATAAGTAGATAACATAAGTAAATAACAACGACAACAGCATCAACAACAAGAACGGCGTGAGGGGAGTGCCTCGAGTGAGTCAAGAGGAAGCAGAAAAAGGAAGTAGCAAAGAGGAAAGAGGAAAGGGAGAAGGTCAAGACTCAGGGCCAAGTCAGGGCACGGGGTAGGGGAGGTGAGGGGGTGGGGTATGGAAGGGGTGTGTGGGGGGGGGGATTACGGGAAGGGGAAGGACGGGTGGTAAGGGGTATGGGATAGAGTGGGAGAAGGGGGAGGGGAAGGGGAAAAAAAGGTAATGGGATGTAAGGGTGGGGTATGGGATGGGTGGGAGTTGGAAAGGGAGAAGGGGGGAGAATGGGGTGTAAGGGTATGGATGGGTGGGAGTGGAGGGGTTGGGTGGGATAAGGAAGGGGGGAACGGTTGGATGGGGTGGGGTGGGATAGGGTTGGGTGGGGATTACAGGAAGGGGAAACGGGTTGGATGGGGGGAGTGGATAGGAAGAAGGGAGAAGGAATAGGATAGGAGGGATGGGGTATAGGAAGAAATGGGGTGGGGTGGGGATTAGGGAGAATGGGGAAGTCATGTGGTGGGTGGTGGCAATTAAGGGGAAAAGGGCTTAGAGTGGGCTGGTGTTAAGGGGGGAAAGGATGTGATTTTATTGGGATTAGGGAGAAGAGGGGTGAATAGGGGGGGTAGGGAAGAGAGGCGCTTAGACTGTGGATTTAGGGGTAGAACGGGGGTGGTGGTGGGAAATGGGAGTGGAAGCGGCGCGGGTGTTGCAGGGCGATTTAGAAGGGGGAGGGGTAGTATAGACGTGGCTTCATACTCCTTGTCATGTGCCTTTTTGTATTGTTATTTTTTTTTGTTTTTGTGTTTATGATTTAACTCGTCTTTCCTCTTCTCTTTCTCTTGTTCTTTCTCTCGCTCTCTCTCACCGTCCCCCTCCTCTCTCTCTCTCTCTCTCTCTCTCTCTCTCTCTCATCTCTCTCTCTCTCTCTCTCTCTCTCTCTCTTCTCTCTCTCTCTCTCTCTCTCTCTCTTTCTCTCTCTCTCTCTCTATCTCTGCCTTCGTTATCACGGGGATCCCAACATTCTATCTGTTTTCTCGCGTCCATATTTTTTATTATTATGGAATAAAAAGTATATTTTAAAAAAACTTTGGGGGTTTATCAGTCTGCTAAAATTTCTTTGTGTTGCTTTGCGGACGCACACACACACACACACACACACACACACACACACACACACACACACACCACACACACAACACACACCAACACACACACACACATACACACACACACACATACACCACACACACAAATCACAGCACACACACACACACACACACATACACACACAATCACTACCTACACACACACACACAACACCACATACACACACATCACCACACACTACACAAGCAGACCACAGGTCACATCACACACACACCGCACACACACACTAGCAAAATCCACAATCACACACACACACCACCAGCACAGCGCACACAAAATAAACACGCAACACATCACATACATACATAGCACACACACACCACACACACACACACAGGACACACAACACACACACACACACAACAGCACAACACAACACCACA